TCTGGGATATCAAATGGTCCTTCGGCTCTAGCCTTGCAAATTTCGTGCTCTGGATTCGCGGTGTCTATTCATCGTTTGTGAGGTTGATGGTGTCATTTGCTGACTTTGTCTTGTTGATCTGCAGGTCGATCAACTGGAGCTCTCAAAAGTAAAGGCTACAGAGTTGCTCAAGGCGCACGATGGAGATGCAGTCAGGGCCATGACTGCCTTCGTGACGGCGGCGCCGTGAGGGAGCCTATCAGGTTTGTGATAGCGGCCACCGTGCACCACCCTCTGCGAGAATCGGACGATTGTATGACATTCGGGGATCTGCGGAGGTCGGTTTTGGGAATCTTGGGATGCTTTTTTCGTGGAGCTAATCATGCCTTCATTGAATGAAATTGCATTCCCTAGGCGACAGGACGAAGAACCAGCTCGCTCTTGCGCGACATTTATGTCCCGCGTCAAATGAGTGGTTCTTCAAGGCGTCTATCGTATGGTGCCCCGCAAATGCTCCGTAACAGATAACATTTGACTCAATTAGGCGGTTTGCATGTGATCATGCACGAGGATTTGTTGGTATTGTGTCACTTTTGCTAAAAAAATTCCCGCCATATACGGGACAAAGTTAAAATATGGATTCTCGCTGTTACTTACTGTATTGGGAAACCAGACGGATGTGCAAGCCTCTACCTCAGCACGACGATTCGCAGCTTAGAAAAGTCAGGCGACTAGGTCTCTAACACTGTTCAGTCTGTCTCGGGGTAGGCTTCTCAAGCTCACACCCGAAACAGGAATATGCTGGGGGCCCAAAGGGAGTCGATGAGAAATTTACAAAAACTCAACTCTGTGATGCATCACTCTCCTCACTCGAACAACACCAAGACCTACAATGACTAGGGTTGGCGGCGGCTGGCACTCTTGGCAAAGCACTGAGGCGGCGCCCCTCATCTGCTCCGGCCGGAAGGAATGCATTCCTGCAGCAAGCGGGTGATAACGAGCATGGCGATCATGAACTTCGGGAAAGGAATGTATACCTAGAACCTGCTCGGGCCCATCCGCTAAGTCTAATAAGCGCCCGCCTAAGTCCAGTCTGCCAACGCGCGCGCATGCGTTGGTGGCGCTTCTGCCCGGTCAGCATGCATCCAGACGCACGGCTAGCCAATCCGCGGCTGGCATGGTTGGCGCTTTTTTCCCACTTGCCCACTGAACGGCGCTATATCACGGCGTATATTTCGACCCTTGGCACCGAAGAGTGACTTGTCACTTTGAGGCATTAGAGTTTCCACCCCGGCCCTAGCGACCACTTATCCCCTGGTAACCGCGAGCCTCATCCTTGATTCGTCGCATACGCTCCCGCATCGGTGCCCGGTCACGCCGCGGGGGAGGGAAGCGCGCTGAGCGGCCTCTAGGAAGGCCGGCTGCTGGTCGCTTTCGGTCCAACCGAGAGGCCCTTCGTTGCATATTATAGTCCACCACGTGGCTCCTAAACACAGAGCCACAGACTTGACGGGCGGCTGTGCGACGGCTAAGGCGGCGGGAGCCGGGACCCGGTCAGCAGCCAGGCTCGCAGGTAGGGGCGGCACGGTTGCGGTCGTGCTCCCACCGAATACGAGCTTGTCAAACATCCCCCCTCACTACTTCTTCTGTGACTTACGGTAGGCATTGTGACACGGCGTCATTCCGTCAGCAATGGATGTCGCTAGCAGAGATATTCCAGATACTCGACGTCGTAAAGGTCAATGGGGACACGCTTGCAAGTTCAGAAGGAGCAGTCCAATTGTCCGACGCTAGATAACGCAGATTATTTCCTGGCTGAAGGATCCAATGGCTCTCCGAAGGAGTGACTTCATGTAGGAGGGTTGATGTTTTAGGCAAATTTGGCGTCCTCGCCCAATAGAGATCGGGACGTAAATGTTGGAGGCTCCGGCAAGTCGTTTTCGAAACGGATTTTCCGAGCTTGGCACGTATAGAGGGCCCCCGCCGACTCCCTCCTCTGTATATTTTGACTGCGAGAGTATAGCGTGTGTGCCGAGGCTGGCCATCGGGCAGGGCCAAAATACCACGAGCGCTGCCGACGCTTCCACAAGGGTCATGGAGCTTTTTGCTCCTTCGGCGCTCCAAGACGTACGGCTTGCTGCTAAAGTTGGGCCACATCTCTGCGGCCTGCTTCCGGCCGTTGGCCGTTAAAGCGCCGCTATGGACGCCCAACTGTGCCGCACGCAACCATCACGCTAGTCTTTCCCCCTTTGCCTTGCTGATAGGGTGAATAGGGCCCGAGTTCTCCACCTTTTTGGTTTATCATTGTCAGGCATCGTTGCGGCGAGGGCGCCTCTTAGTGAGACAGGGCGAAAAGCTGTGCCGCATACCGTCGCCGCCAACTGATTGGCCCACTCGATGTCCTCGATGCCACTGAATCACCTGAAAGCCACGTCTTAAACGGGGTCAGCCTGGTTGTTTTCTGCCTGGCCCGATTGCGACATCTTTGCATTCTTTTCCAAGACCCTATTCAGACGACCGGCGCTTCCTCCTCCTATCGACCTCGACAACCAACGGAGGGATGGACCCGGCGCCTCCAAAGGTCAGAGTAAGCTCGAAATCATGCGAGGCGCAGAGGGGGGCTGGCCATAATGGCGCGCAATGGAAGCGTTTCCTGGTAAGCGGGTGCTCTTATCCCGATATGGTGACCCAACTCCCCCACACACGGGGTTTCATCGATAGATGAAGCCGTAGAATCTGCAAAATATACTATCAGTCCCCGTTCTTGCAAGACAACCTTTTTGACCACGCGCCACCGTTAGAAAATTACCCACGAGGAGACGGAGAATATGGTCCTCCAACTGCCGCACTGTTCCTCATGGGTCAACGTGCCGGCGAACCACCAAGAAGCTCTTCTGCAACGGCTTAACCATCGGCTCAAAGCGGAGAGCATTCCGACGATAGGCAATGATGTCCTCGATTGGCGGATGTCTCAATCGTTCCGGGAAGTAAGACGAGCTCAGCAGAGTATGCCTCCCGTTCGAGCTTCCCGCAAGGCACCGGTCCATCTTTACTGACGGGCATCTCGTCGTCTTATAGCTGCAAGCCAGTCTGCGCAGATGAGGCAGCAGTATCAAGTTCAACTGCAGGCTCCTTCACCCCCAGCGGGGCCGTCAAGCCCCGCTCCGGGGTCTCAAATGCGATACGACCAAGTCCGCGGGTGCTACCGGGCGTGGGATCCGCAAAGTGGTAGCTGGGTTGACAGGCAGGCATGACAATGCCACTTGCACGGCGCTGGCGGAACTGTTTTGCTTGTTAACATCCACGGAGGCGCACACCATCAAGGGAGTCGGCAAGAGTGGTGGGTGGGAGGCGCATGCCATCATGGACGAACCAGATTGACACCGAATGTCCTCCTTTATATCCGGTTTTCTTGTGACCACAACTATCGAATGAATAATGGTTTCTAGTAATATTAGGCTCGATGCAGCAGCTTCATATTGGAGAATGCACCTCACAGCCAATCGTTGCCGTCTTGGCGAGAGAGATCCAGGATTACTTGCCAGTCTGTCGGGTCGCGAACCCGCATTTGTCGACGTTGATTCCCCCAAACGGATGCGATACCGTCACGTTCCGCTCTTTTCGGTCGAGTCTTGTTTCTGAAAACTTCGCAGGGCTAACCTAGTTGACTTTGCGTTTTGCTGATTGTCGTATAGTGCGAGTTCCTTGAGAAAGAGACGGATTGCCACACCGCATGCACGCCGCTCAATTAGAAAATTGGAATAGTTACGACGGACAGTGGCTCACAGTGGATCGGATTCTTATCCAGATTTTATCCCGAGGCAGCATTTAGGGGGCGAATCAGCCGGACAAATATTTGCGGTGAGATGCATACGTGACTGGACTTCGATATACGGTTTGTAGTTGCGCACTGCTCTGATTCTTTGATTTAGCATACATGCTAAGAAATAATCTCCAGTTCAACCGAATTACGACGCTTCGGCGTAATTGAAGTCGCCGTCACATGGATTGCCCCGCTCGGCTCAGCCGCACCGATAAGGCCTGAAGGATTTGGTCCCATATTCAATAATTGGCGGTCGAGACTAGGCGGTCTCTTAGTCGCTGTACTGCCATTCAAGACCAGACAGGTTGAATGTGGTAGGCACATGGCTTTCATACAAATAACTAAGAAGGCGGAACATGGCATGGTATCTCGGCGACGGTGGAGTCGCAGATGGAAGTTGAGGGAGATAAGACATGACGGGAGAAGGGAAGGCAGAGATGAAAACAAGATTAGGTACTCGCCTCGAGGCGGATCCTTCGCCCCCATGGTTAGACAGACTGGCCCTGAAGCCAGTAATGGGATTAAAGTTTTAAGGTTAACGGACAGGTTCCGAACGGAGGCGAGGGTACGGGACGGCACGAATCCGCAGGCACGTGTCGCTTCTCATGTCGGTGAACTACCTTGAAGAAGTACCCACTCAAGTCTACTGAGTAGGTGGAGCTTTGGCCCCTCGCTCCTCAGCTGACCGTTCGTACTGCGTTGCTCTAGCTCCCACGGCTGGTTGGACATGGTGAGACATCACTGCGACGGATTCATCACATTGGCGGTCACTGAGCTACCATCCAATCGTACGCTTGGGCTTGTTTCATATAGAGACATAGGCAGGAGAGCATTGTAATTGCAGATTCCAAATGTATGTCAACAAGCTGTTCGTACGCAACCGTCCAAATTTCTTTAGGACCACAAAACGCCTTAGTGATTGCGGTATTCTCGAAGGATAGCTGGTCTAGCGCACAGAGCACAGGGAAGTAAGCAATTCAAGCGCACAGATCAAGAGGTGATTCGCGCGCAATGGCAATGACCGGGGATGCCGATGTGCCTACCTTATTTCTTCACCGTATTAGGTAAAACTCTCAGAAAGGGAAATAGCCTTGCGCTTGGATATTTTTGAACGACAAATTTGTTAAATAATATATATTATATAGACTAAAATTTCGTGCTGCTGCGCCGTTAATTTGAAACAACAAATTAGGCGATAGCGGGAGTAGTCTAGTGGTTATGATGTCTGCTTTACAATCTCTCTATTCTGTAATCGCAGAAGGTCGGGGGTTCGATCCCCCCCTCCCGTAATTTGTTTTGTGCCTTAAATGTGTCTTTCCTTTTAACACGATTGCAGGAAAATTTTTTGCAATCGAAGAAATCTTTTGAGCAATTACATAGCGTCCATGCATAACCAACCGGACTGACCAAAGTTTTCCACATTCTACCATCAAGTCTTCGTCTGTAAGTTGAATAGATCTAGCGAAATCAATTCTGAAGCAGGCTTGATAAACCATTTCAGTATTGGTCGCAATATATGAAGCATTTGGGTTTAAATACAAGCATCATTTGGTATATCCGACGTATCTTTATATAAAACTATAGAACTACGTATGGGGAGCGGAGTGGGCATCCGGGCTGGTGAGAATTCCCTCCTTTCCAGTTTCCGGAGCAGTGCCAGCAAAACTCGTGTCGACATTGCCTGCCTAAGATCCGGCAATGTCAGCTGCAGATATAAAGCGTACGCATTGGTAGGCTTACACGTCATGTGTTCGCAACCCCGGTTCTTCTCGATGGAAACGTTGCAATTCGGGCATTTCTTCGTGGTGTCGGCGATGGTCTTCTCGGAAGCCTCGATTTCCGCATGGGCACGCGGGTTCGTGCGCAAGTTATACTGTTCGCACGTTTCCGAGACGTGCCATTCGCAGTTGTGGATAACACAAGCTTCGTAGAAGCATGCTAGGCAACGTATTCTTGGGCCGTCCATGTCGATATCGTGCAACTGGCCAAACTCACAGCCGGTTCGCAAACACCAGCGGAAGTTGGGCATTTTTCCAAGGGCGTCACGCGTGACGAAGTTGTCGTACCTAATTGAGACTTATTAGACCGCGTCCTCCGGATGGTGGTGCATAAAACCAACAAAGAGCTATGCACTCGTACCTTTGGAAAGTCTCAGGCGACGCGTGAGTCAGCACATCCTCATAGAGAAGCATTTCGCTGCAGAGAGGACACTTGATATTCTCCCAGCCTTTGCTTTCCAATTCGGATGCGATCCATTGCTGCATGTCCTCCGTGCAGACCGAAGGGAGATGCTTACACCTACGAGTGACACGGGTGGGAAACTCAAATCTGAATTTCTTCTCGTCGCACACTACGCAAATCCCAAGACCGACGAGATGAGTCTCACGTGAGCGGAGTGTTGATCGTTCGCTTTGGGCCGACTTCCAAAGTCGAGGTATTTCGTCCTCGAGGCCAGCTGCGGAAGCGTCAAAAATAAGCGGGATGAGACCGGGCGGCTCATGCCCGTTCAGATAGACGCCGAAACGAGATAGCATCGGAGCGACCGAGCTTGTTAGTACATCATACCAGACCTTACGCTTCGTGACAGGCGTGCGAGGGCCATCGTAGCCCAGATTATCTTCGTCAATCAAGGCCTTGTCGTCCTCAAGGAGTCCTCCTCGTGGCGAGTACAATGCCACCATGCGCTCATGAGGAAGATTGAGATGGCGGGCGACGAGGATACGTAGCAAGCCCAGCTTTGCCTCTCCTTTATGGAACCCGGGAACGCGCATGGTGAACTTTTCCGAGAATAACTTCCTGGGTTGGATGTCTTCGAGGACTAGGGAATCCTTCCAGCCAACCAAAAGTTCGCTTTGTGGGGCAAGCCCCGCAGCTCTAGCCGTCATGGAATCATCTAGCAGCGGGATGAAAGGCTTGTCTCCTGACCTCCGGGCGTGAGTGAGTCGAATGACGCTGGGATCGTCGGCTCCAAATTTTTTTGCGGCTTGCTCTCTGATCATCCCGATGGTAAGTTTTCCACTCTCAATTGCAGTTTTGGGCCAGCTAGAGGACCACGGAGATGGCAAGTCGCACTCGACAATTTTTTCCGCGCCGGAGGACCCTGGAGGAACAGAGGTGGCAGTCGATTCCATTTGGTACGTCGCAGAGGGCCTAGGTGGATTTGGTCGGGTTTGCACGCCATGCCGCCCTTTCCAGTATGCTAGGACGGCAGTCAGTCACGCAACAATCGCATCAGTTCGGCAATTGCGCCATGAACACCCACCGCGACAGTGCGGGCAATAATCCTCAACGAGACATTCTGATCCTGCCAGAGTAATGGCGTCGACTCCAGAGGGTTGCGGGCCACCGCGGTTCCGTTTCTTCCCGTAGCAAGCGCAGCAAAGCGCCGTGCCTTTCCGTTGGCATGACGACAACTTTTGTTTGTGGACACATCGCTCCGTCCTAGGCCTCAGGGGACGTAAATTGGCGGGAGGGGAGCTGGATCTCGTAGCAAAACCTCTGAGAGCCATCGTTCATCTTGGAGCACTTGCTACGATGGGGCAATTCGTCTGATTCGGTCCACACCTGGGTGAAGTAGACAGCGGGACGGAGAGGCTAAGTTAGTTTCGAGTTTCGCGGCTCAATTTGAATGACGAGAGAGAGCCAAAAGTTTAGGTCAAAAGCACCAAAGAGAATGAGGCGGGGCAAGATTCCGGTGACGGCTGAACGCACAAGGCTGAAGCAGCGTCACATGATAAGGAGGGGCTGTCGGGCGTAAGTTGGTCATGGAAAAGTGAGGCGGCGGTTGCCTTGATTTAGTGAGTTTGCCCTGCAAGCGGGGTTTTGTGGCTTGGGAAGAAGCAGCCACTGGCGACAGTCCAAAAGCAGCCAATGTACCACATGGGCCGCTTGTATCGCGGGAAGCCGTGTCCGTCGTCGGTGTCTTGATCCGTCACGGCGTCATGCAGTTAGGGCGGTCGGGTAGTAGTGGCCGCCTTGGCAAGCATCGCTCATTGGTCACTATTTTCAAATCCTTGGATACTAGCGCCTAGAGCTCACTTTCAGTCTGCCCAACCCACTGTAAGCCAGTGTCTCGCCGCCCATTAAAGGCACCGACTCCTCCGTCAGGCCTGACTCTGCCATTGCCTCGGAAAGTGTGAGTGAATATCCGTCCTTAAAATGAGAGCAAGCTGCGCTCACCAATTTCTTGGCCCCAAATGCGTTTGTTCATAGCCTTGCGTGCCGTTCTCTTCTTCCAGGCAACGATGGTTTCGGGCACGGCGCTGACGCTCCGACAGGAAGCCTCGAAAGGCAGCCTATCACCACCACCACTGACCCCGTTTTAAAAGCGGCGAAACTTGGTCGCATGATGCTTTTTCACGACACCGGTAGCCTTCCTGCGGCGGTTACAATTTCGCAGAATGTGCAATACGGCGGCACCCATTAGGAAAGTGCGGCCAAAGTTACGTGCTGACGATGGAACCGCAGAGTATCAACTACGCGGCTCCCCCAGCCTCACCTCAGAAGCTGTCTTGCCGAGCTAGTAGCCGAAACAAAGGATTCCCGCGTGGCATTGCTGGGCCTTTTCCTAGCAAACCTGCCTGTGAGTCTAGGCCTCGTACTCTCGTTGTCGCCGGTGGCATCGCCGCGTCGGTGCCGCGCCTGGGATGGCACCGAGACATCAATGGCGCTCCAGCGGGCGCTTCCCTGCGCTCCCGTAACCTGCTGCACGCGGCGGTTACGCGCGCGGCTGCCTTCGACGCCCTGGAAGATGGGCGCGTTGAAGGCGTGCGCTACATCAAGAGGGTTCAGGCTGGCACGATGGCCCAGTTCCCACCAGGCCCAGTAAAGTGGCGCAACGGCGAACACTCCCATTAACGAGACCGAGATAGCGGCGGCTAGGAAGTCGAAGTTGGTCCGGTAAGCGGCAAAAGACACCTTGCCTTCGTAGGATACATGTTGCGTCCAGTTTGACACGATGGGGTGCCAGTCATCCTCGGGAATTGCCGTATATAGCGTGCCGTTCGGGAAAAAGTACTGTGGATCTTCGACAGCTCCAGCGGAGATAGAGCACCGGAATGCGAGCTCGCGCATAGAATCAAGAATATCCTAATTGAATCAAAAATAAGTATCATGTATAGGTGACGAAAGGTGTCGTAAGTAGGGGCAAGGCTCTTACCTGCATAGGATTCGTCCAGCTTATGGAACAGTTTCCACTGTCATAAGAGCCGCTGTTGCTACTGAATAGCATACTTGCCGATCCAGCCATTTCTGATTCCACAACCCATGATCCCTTGTCGTCACGCTGATCGCTCGAGCTCGGGTCATCAGTCGGAGCCCTCCAGGTGATATTTGCTTGCATAGAGAACAATCGATTAAAGGCTTCAGCCCACCATGTCATCGTGTCGAAAGCGTCTGCTTCGGAAAATGGAATACTACGAAGCAGATTAGCGGACTATCAAACGACTTCGGCGTGATATTTGGTTGAGGACGGACGTTTCGGAGATGAACGTGTCGTTCTGGTGGTGTGGATTGACCAAAGATGCTCGACCGTTCGCCAAGTGTACGTCATACTCTACTAAGCCTTGCCGAAGAGTGCAAATATTGACTTTAACATCACCTCGGCAGTCTGTGGTATCTTTGAAGACAGTGGTGACGTCGAATCGATCCCGCCAGGCCAGGCTATTAGCATTGAGATCAAATTGATTTTGGCTGTCACTCCACGCGTTGCTGCCAATGGCGAACGTCAAGGACGTTATGTTTTCGGCGTTTTCGGCCTCGCCGCCACCAATACTTAGGTCGAATGGGAAGGACGCATTACGGCAATCCTGGACTTTAAAGCCAAATCCCTATGAAGGCGGTAAGTAAAGCACGCAGATTGATTATTCTCTAAACTCACTTTGACCCGAGTATCACACTCATCTCCACACTCGCCATATGTCAGCGGCGTTGGATCTTGTTGCAAGAAGTCCTTGAGGACGCCCTCAAAGTGCCGCCCGTAGGTCACAGCAGGCCCAGATGGATAATAATACGGTAATGGAAGAACCTGGGCCACTACGCTAAGTTAGCATCATTTTGAGTAGGCATCCCAATTACAAGGTATGCTTACTTCTTATTTCAAGCTCCCCCTTTGTCGGAAACGTAGCGTGTTCTGGTCTTGGGGTTAGATTCCTGTGCCCACTAACATAGTCGGTACGACTTTCGGGACACAGTACCATCAACAAACGATGCCCTTTGCAAAAGAGGACCGCGTAAAGCCGAAAGAGCAGCGAGTAGGCAAGCTACACGATAACACAGAATTAGCCCATAG